GGGGGTCAGGCAGGCAGGCAGTGAGGAAGCCAATGAATTACAGAGAAGGTGCCTGCACCCACACAGAAGCTGAGGGCGTGTGTGTGAGGTGACTTGACTTTGGCGGATTAGGCATTAGCAAGGACAAGGAGGGAGGACGTGTGTGTGGGTGATGCGGCTTCTGATGGCAATGTCGGTAGGGTAGCCACCCTGGGAGAGTGCTTTGTAGAACACATGGGGTCTGTCCAAAGGGCAATCATATCTCCATAAATGGACCACAAAGACTCTGCTAGGACGCCTCACAGGACGGCCTGGTTGTGGAGAATGGGCAGCATCTTCCTGAAGACAGGCAGACACAGACAGAGAGAGATCTCAGCTGGGGGGCTTTCTGGCTGCTTCTCGCTTCGTGTGTGGCCTCTCTGTGTGAGCGGCTTTCTGGTGCTGTTGTGTTTTTGGAGAGGGCATGTGCCGTTAGCGAGCCCTAGCACCACCCAAGCTCGCAACTGTAAACACTCTCTGATTTTAGGGCTTCTTCCCATTGCAGGGGGGCGGGGCGGCGGCTGCTGTGCTCAATTAAACCCTAATTATGCGTAGGATTTGCGAATTTCGTGAATGCGGTTGGTGTGCAGGAGTACGCAGCGCGCAGCAGACAGGCAGACACCTTGCCACACACGGATGTGCGCAGGGGTGGGCTGTGTGCAGAGAGAGAGCAAGGGAGGGAGGGAGGGGGCGTGCACTGCGCACGTGCCCCTCTCTCTCTCTCTCTGTGTGTGTGTGTGTGTGTGTGCAGGAAATGACCGACCGTGTGAATGCAATGCAATGCGTTCCATGACAGGCAGACAGCACCAACACCACAATTGCTAGTCTATTGGGCAGCCAGCATCAGCGGCAGGCTCCACGATCCACATCCCATACCATGCTGCATGTGGTGGCTGAGTGGGTAAAAGAGTGAGTGACTGAGTGAGTGAGTGAAAGGCACACGAGTGACTGAGCAAATTGGCATTCATTCACACACACGGGTCAGTCAGTCAATGAATGAATTAGTCTGTCATCTCACATCACACCACACCAGTCAGTCCCCAACCAACACGCGGTATTGTTGATAATTATTATCACATGTGTGTGTGCGATAGATAAAACACCACTACTATCCACAGACACATAGTCACCCAGGCAGGGAGGGAGGGAGGGAGAGAAGAAGGAGAGAGAGCGCGCTTTGCGACGCGATGTCGACATGACGGAGGAAGTGAGTAAACACACACGACGGGACGGACACACACACTCAGACAGACACAGACACAGACACACACAGCACGCCACGCAATGCAATTCACTTAGACTCTGTCTGTCTGTGCGCCTGTCTCTCTGTGTGTACGTCAAGACGCACAAAACAGTTTACAGACAGACACAGACATTCATTAACTAGGCAGCCATCCGTCCATCCATCCGTCCATCCATCCATCCAGAGGCCACTCACTGTACTGGGTCCCTCTCCCCCCAGGTGCCGATCACCGACGGGAGAGGCGCCCTCTCGCCCTCACCCACACACGACTCCCCGCCCACACACACACCACCAGCCCCGGCTGCCCGCACCTCTCCCAGGCTGCTGTGCGTCTCGTCGCTGCTGGACATTGAGGCGTACAGCTTGACCGTGTCGCTCGGGGACTCGGAGGGGTGGTCACCCTGGCTGCCCGTCGCTCTGGCCTGGTGGTCCAGTTCTAGCCGATCTGCCGCTTGCTTCGCCTGGGTGCACACACATATGAATGAATGAGATGCAGACAGTCACGATGGATGGATGGATGGATGGTCACTCACCTGTTCGTCCCAGTCGATGCGTGAGAGCAGCCGCGCCAGGCTGAGTACGTTGATAAGGCAGGCCAGCACGAGCCCAGACAGCAGCCCTGTCAGCTTCATCCCGGCCCACCCGAACCACATGACCAAACCAAAGGGAATGCCGATGGGATAATACGCCACGAGATTGACAATTGCCGCCACCCTCTGCTGACCCACCCCACTCATGGCGCCCCTCAGGGCGTGGTAGATGGTGTCCAGCGCAAAGGCCGCACCCAGCACTCACCGGAGTCCCTACACACCTCCTTCCC